AAAAATAGATCATAACTAAATTTATGCTATTTTTAAGCTAAAATTGTTACACGAACTCTACAGCTTAAGGGATAGTTCTTAATACAATATTGTAGTTTATTTTTATTTTTTTTTGGTGTTAAGGCAACCTCTTTGGTCTGTGAACTCTTTATTAGTAATCATTTGTTATTATAGTTACAATAAAGATACAACTAGTCATACGTACATCTTTTAAGTGCCTATTTAAGTAGTCTGCTCACAGGTTCTATACTAGCTGTTGTACCTATAATTCAACTAGGGAGTTATCCATTTAAACCTTCTGATCTTAGGTTTGCACTAACTAATTACTAGCTTGTATTTTTCTATTGAGTGGATGCACAGGTTATCCTCAAAGTAAACCTATCAGAGCTTTCTCTATCCCATTTGGGCCAATCTGGTTTTGCACAGTTATCAAGACTCCCACTTGTAGTTGGGATTATTCCCATTTAATCATTTTTGCCCTTATAAGGTTCACTCCTAATCCCAGTACCCACATTTAGACTTTTTCTTTTTTTGTTATTTTCTTATTAGTCTATCTCTTACTTCCAACTAGTGACTCAGAAGATTTGACCTTGGCTTGGCATTAGGTACTGGTGCTCTTATTTTATCTTGGTACATGATTTTCTAGTACATGTCCTTTTCCTCCAATTCGGTAGAACATGTCTGGCATTTTTTCATTAGTCACCTGACTTCTATAACCTCTAGTCTTGGTAAGTAGAGCCCCACCACTGGTTTCCCACACCGGTTGGCCAGGGTTGATGTACTCCATAATGTCTCACAGATTTTTAACTTCCTAAATTAGCAGTCAGGTTGATAAATCCTCTACTAAAGAATCTTGCTATTATTCAGTTCTTCAATTTCAGTTCTAATTTCCAAATTCGGGTCTTTTCTGTGATACTATTAAAAATCATAGCTACTTTTTACTCAGGTCTTTCCAAACAGGTTTCGATCATTCCAGTTTCTTAGCCTTTTATATGCCAAAGCTCTCATGTAAAATGTAAAAAAAAAAAGAAACTATACTAAAAAAAAAAACATATAAAATGAAGGGGAAAAAATAAAGGAAATAAGAAAAAAAGAGGATAGTGGAATGTAAAAAAAAAAAACAAAAAGAAAGGCTCCTGCTAAGCTGACTAAAGCTAAAACTAATCTAAAAAAATGAATAAAAACAAAAAAAAAAAACTTATTAGAAAAAAAAAAGACTTCTTTACACTATTATAACCTGTGCAAGACTTTGAAAAATTCTATAACAAATACAATATCTGTATATCTCTACTGTAAAGCTTTGCCTTAATGTATAAATTTCTTTCCGATTATAGCATCTTTGGTATTCCTTTAACTGAGAGTCTAGACCCGTGAAGTAGTACTGTATCTGGGGGGCGTTAATAGAAACCAAGCAAATCAAAATTTTTTCAAAATTTAGTTTTTACGCTTAACTAATATAAAACATTGTAAAGAATATTTTTTACTTAATAATGACCCTTTGATTAATTAATAAAAATTTGAGATATTTACATTTAGACAATTTGGTCGGAAATTGATCATCCGATCATAATTGATCAGAAATAAATCATCTGATATTTTAAACTGTTATATTTGCACATTATCTAAATAATTTCTTTAACAAATAGTCAATAGTAACCAAGCAAATGTGTCTAATAAATTTGCTTGGTTTCCATTGAACCGTATATGCTAAATAGTGCTTTTCGATCAAGGCCGCATAAGTAGCCGAGTGGGTTCGGATTGTCGATCATTGTTTATGTGTTTGTGTAATACAACACAAAAATCACGTTATTTCAAAAACACTGATTTATCAATTTGCTTGGTTTCTATTGACGCCCCCATCTTGTTGATAAACAAATATATAGTTACAATCTACAAGGTTGTCTAAATTTAAAAAAGATAAACAATGCTGATCTTTTGATAGGGGTAAGCTGTTTTGCCTACTTTTTTTGAAAATTTTGAAAAATAAACAAGTGGGTAATAATATAGAAGATAGCTCTTGTATTTTTTTTAAAAGAGCATATGTTTTTTTCCAAAAGTAGTAGAATGTAAAGAGCTAAGTTTACTGCTGATTTTCTTGTTGGTAGGTAATAAACCCTAAACTTGTTAGCAAGAGTGTATAAGAACTACTTCTAAATAACAAATGTCATTCCCACAATAAGTGATAAGCTTTGGGCCTGTTAGCAGCTAGCATATAAAAACTATTTATAAATAACAAGTACCGGTTTATGGTTTTTATTAGTTTTATACTTTTCTTTTCTATTATAGTCTACTGTTTTTTCAAAAAAAAGATTTGTTGTATTTTGGTACAAAGGATTGCGGAAAGAGTTCCTATTGTAAATAAAATATTATATATATAAAATATATTTTATATTATTAATAATTTTTAATTTTATTTAAAAAATTATAAATACTTTTCAAAATTCCAGACAGATTTGCCTGGAAAACAGTTTAAAAGATAAAAATTTTATATAGTTACAAAAAATAAAATATAAATATTTTCTTATTTACTAAATCAATTTTAATAATATTTTTATATTATATATAAAAAGAGTTTTTTTTACAATTTTTATTAGAAAAATAAAGTATATTAGTATAATAAAAAAAATAATTTTCTATGGGGGGAAAGAAGATTTCATAATTATAATAAATTTAATAGTAATTTGCATCTATGAAATACTATTCTTCTTATGTCTCTTATATGAATTAGCAATTAATATTTAATTTTTTCAATTAACTTTGGAGTTAGGTGCATTCTATATTAGAGTTAGATTAGGTTTTTGGTTGTTATATATAAACAAAATTGCCTTCCCAACATTTTTGGTTAATCTACCCGAGGTAGGTTTAGACTGCCGTTTTTTTTATTTCTTGTTTTGCTTCGCCGGAGATCATTAAAGTTCTATAATTTGATTGGCTGTCTATCACATGATTTGCCTCTGCGGATCTTTATTGTAAATAAGGTTTTTTTCCCCCTTATTTTTTGTTTACGTTTTTTAAGCAAATATGCCACCTAAATCTCATCCAAGCTATGATGAACAGTATCCGTTACCTCCAGACTTTTTCAGATTAATTACAAAATTAAAAAAATCATGTGTTGGTAAAATTATATCAATCACGTTTAATGAAAACGGAAGTGTTCTAGTTGTTAGAAATGTCGAAAGTCTCGTTCGAAATGGAAGACCCTCAAGAAGTCGTTTTGGATCCTACAATATAGAAAGTAAATACGACGAATATGAAATCGAGAATTTCGATTTTTTTAACATGGTAATTTATTATTCTTTTATCTTCTCTATATTCTTATGGACATACATTTATAAACGTTTTAATTATTAGGTGCCGTCAAATGAATTTTTCGATGATTTACAATTAGAAACGTTAAAAGAAAAGCTTCAGAAAGCTGAAACTGCACTTGAGGTATAATTTTTTTTTTAGTGGAACATTTATTAAATTAATTAAATATATATAAATATATATTTATTACTTATTTAATTTAGGAAAAACAAATCGAGATTAATCGGTTGAAGGGAAAGGTATTTTGTTAAATCGAGTGAAGTTTATCTTTTAAATCAAATATATATTAAATATATATTTATTACTTCTTTAATTTAGGAAAAACAAATCGAGATTAATCGGTTGAAGGGAAAGGTATTTTGTTAAATCGAGTGAATTTTATCTTTTAAATCCAAATTAGAAGTCCATAACTAAAATTTATTCATTTATAAAAGGGAACAACCAATTCTTTAAGCAAGGATTTACTAAAGAAAATTTTTGAAGAGATCGAAGCTGATAAAATTGATGAAACCGAAGCTGATAAAGATGAACAAATTTGGAGGAAAATAAATTCCAAACTAGAAACGATTTTTGGTTATCAACAAACCCTAAATAATCCCACCGATGAAACTCAAAAAAAAAAATATTTATCCTGGATATTTGCTTTGCAATTCTGGGAAAAATCAAATAAATTCCCCATAACTCACTGGGTAGAACGGGCCAAGACTACATTTGATAATTTCTCCAATGAAGTGATTAGTGGTAAGAATAGTAAAATCATTTTCTCCTAATAAATTGAAAATTTCCGATTGAGTAATTACACTTCTTTTTTTTTTTTTAAGATTCTACAGTTTCAGTTTCAAAAAAAAAATCATTATCTAAGAAAAGGGCATTATCTGATGAGAATCTATCAAATAAAAAATTCAAATATGGTAATTATATATATCTTTCATATGTTTAGCTAACACAAAAACGAAATTATATAATTTTTAATTTAAATAAGATAAGGATCTCGACTCTGTAGCAAAAATTCTTCGTTCTCAAATGTCAAAAAATAAAGAAAATTACGAAGAAACTAATCAAGCAATAATTTCGATGGAAATAGATTGCGTAGAGATTGAATTCGGTGATAGCAAAGAATCTATTGAATCTGGTTTAGCACAATATTTTAAAAGAACCTCGTGTATAGATAAAATGGAATGCAACTTAGACTATTTAAAATGGAATCACTTCTTGAACTTAATTCCAGCCTACGATGCCTTAATCAAATTTGTAGATAATGATCCTCCAACAGGTCAAAAAACCCGTTCAATTAGAGATAAGAAGGATAATTTCATTCCACTAGGCAGGGCAGCCTGTGATAAAAGTAAACGCAGATGGATTTCTTATCAAATAAGTACCTTGCTGCTTATTAATACCAGAGATGAAAGGAAATTGTGGGTCGCCATCAAGTTCGTTAAAAAGTTACTGACAAAAGGTTTATTTAGATTAGATTTGCTCATAAAAAATAAGATTCGACCTGATTTTTTCAAGAAAATGACTAAAGAAGATTGAATTGAGTTTTTGAGTAAAATTCAAGATAAACCAGTAAATCTTGTATTAAATGAAGAATCTGGAGACGATGAGGATGATGACGATGAAGACAATGACGGTAGGTAGCAATTAGTAAATTTCTATTGTATTGTTTAAATCTCTCTAATTATAATGTCAATTAAACTTTATAGATCGACAAGTTAAATTGTAATTACAATCCCTTTAGCTATCAGAAATTTAAAATTCCTCGATTATCCCGAAGTAGATATATACAATCTTTTCAAAAAATCCCCTAAAGATAAAATCGAAATAATCCAATTTTTGATACAAAATCACATGAACACAAAAATTCCAAGAAAAACAAATTATTTGTTTTCATTCAAGTACCTACCCATAAATGATTCCTTAACTTCTATACATACTAAGTTCCAAAAAAAAAAAGGCTCTTGAAGAACCTTTTGTATCGAAACATTTATTGGATTTTTGATACTTTAAACATGTATTATATTTTATTGATAAAAATATTGATAAAAACCAGAGTCAGATATCATACAGCGTTTATATTATCTAAGTTCTTTAATTAATTAAAAAATTTGGGTTCTTGGCTAAATTAACTATGGCTCTTCGGGTTGTTTCAGATTCGTATAAATATCAGACCAGAATTAAACGAGTTCATAAAGAATTTTCAGTGTTCAGAGAATATAAAATAGAAGTATGCATGTGTTGGTAAAAATATCAAGAAGCATTTAGATTTTAAAGGATTTAGTATTTTGATTTTCAGATCTTATTCAAAAATTCAAAGTTAGTAAGCTTGTTTGGTTTTATATATTTAAATATTGGAAATAAATCTGTACCTAGATAACAATCGAACAATTTGTGTGGAAACCATTTTTAATCCATACTCTGTCAATCTTAGTAGCTCTTAGGACCCGGCGTTGCCTGGGTTTGAGGTTCTAATATTTTTCTAATTCTTAGGTTTTTAATTATAGAACCCGGCGTTGTCCAGGTTCGAGGTTTTAATGTTTTTCTAATTCTTAGGTTTTTAATTATATTAGCTCTTAGAACCTGGCATTGTCCGGGTTTGAGGCTCTAATGTTATTTTAATTCTTAGACCTCAATTATATTAGCTCTTAGAACCCGGTGTTTCCCAGGTTTGAGGTTCTAATGTTTTTTTAATTCTTAGGTTTTTAATTATATTAGCTCTTAGGACTCAGTGTTGTCCGAGTTCAAGGTCTTAATATTATTCTACTTAATTTTATTAATTCTTAGATTTAAATTATTGTTTTAGTTTTAAGATTTTAATTTTTTTTTAATATTTTAAATTTAATTAGAAAAAATTAGATTTTAGAACCTAGGCATTGCCGGGTTCTAAAATCTAATTTTTTCTAATTCTTAAATATTTTATTATATTTTTACAATATAATATATAGGTGTATTATTTTAAATTTGGCCCAAATTAAGTTTAATTTAGGCTAAATTTCAAAATTATATTTTATATATAATTTTATAAAAATATAATAAAACTTAGTATTATATTTACATAAAATAACTTTTAAATAAAAAATAAACTTATTTTAGAACCTATTTTAGATACTAAATAGATTTACTTTAGATACTAAATAGACTTACTTTAAATACCAAATATATATATAGACCTACCTTAGATACCAAATGGACCTATTTTAGGTACCAAATGGACCTACCTTAGGTACCAAATAGACCTACTTTAGGTATTATATAGACCTACCTTAGTACTAATTAGATTTACCTTAGATACTAAATAGACTTACTTTAGGCACCAAATAGACCTACCTTAGGTACCAAATAAACATACCTTAGGTACCAAATGGATTTATTTTAGGTACAAAATGAACCCGGATTAGGTTAAAAAGGTAACCGGATTAAGTTCAAAATGAACCCGGATTAGGTTCAAATAAACCTGGGTTTGAATATAGATTTAGAAATCGCTAGCAAAGATTTAGCAATGAATTTCTCAATAACTACTAATCCGATTTAGATGAAATTTTTACAGTAGTTAGATAAGGTATTGAGCTCATAAAATTTTTAGCCAATTTGGATGTATAGTTCTTGAGTAATTGTTTAAAACCCAAAATTATTTAGTAAAAAATAATTGTTTATCATTTTTTAGCAATTACTCTAGAACTATCAATTCAAATTAGTTGTAATTTAAATAAGTTATAGCCAAATATCATATGTAATTGCTGATAAAATTTCAGCCAATTTGAATTATTAGTTCTTGAGTAATTGCTTAATATTTGTAAATATTTGAATTAAAATAATTGACTATAGTTTTTAAGCAATTACTCAAGAACTACTAATTTAAATTGGCTAAAAATTTTACATATTATAGCCCAATATCATATCCAATTACAAATAAAATTTCATCCAATTTGGATCAGTAGTTGTTGAAAAAATCATAGAAATATTAGTGTAAATTTAAAGAAATGTGTAGTAAAAAATTCAAAATCTATAGATTTTTAATAGCGCCGGCCAAAATTTGGCAGTAAATTTCTTAACAACTACTAATCCAAATTAGATGAAATTTTTACAGCAGATAGATATGGGGTCTTTGCCTTGAAAATGACCTTACGGCACTAGTAATTTTTTTTAAGTAAACAGTAATTAAAGATTGTGTAATCAAAACAACCCAAATTTGATTTGCCGCTAATTTTAGATATGCTGAAAAGAAGTAGATCCCACAGTAGTTACAGTATTTAGTGATTTTGAGCAAGATTTGTAAAAAATTGGCATTTTTAACTAGTATTCGTCCAATAAGCGAAGCTATAGAAAGTTATTTTTCTGCAACATTACAAGTAGAAGTCTATCATTTTTGCTTTAATTTGTAAGTATTTTAGATAGGACCGATCACTATTGCGTTAACGAGCATAATAAACAAATTATAAGTACAAATTTTTAAGTAAAAGTTCCTTTCAATTTTACTGTACTAGAAATAAAGGAAATAAGCTTCTGTAAAGCCAAAAAGACCTTTAATTGTAATAAAATCAAAACATATCTCTCTCACTTCTAAAACGTTGTATTTCCTGATTTTATCATTATGACTTTCTTGTTCACGTGATTCGTTGTTCGTTCGCCCAAACTTCTATATTTTGTGTTTCTAACTTTGTATACTCCAATCTTGTATCTCTTTTCCATTCGTATTACATATTTCTTCCCGTAAACATTAGAGCTATCTTCAAGCTCTCTCGATTAGTATTGCAATATTTTCTCCACATGATCAGTCCCTATTTAGTTCAAAAAATTATTCAAAAATTAATGTTAAAACAGATAGAAAATGTTACAGAAAGATGAATTTTCTATAACTTTACTTCTTGGACGAATACCAGTTGAAAAAATGTCTATTTTTTTTTTTTTTTTTTTTACAAATCTTGGCTGACAATTACGTGAGACTAATTAACATCTACAAAATGTTAAATTACAGGTCTTGCTATCTTATTACACTTTGAATTGTTTGAATTTAGCTTAAAAGTTGAGCTGTTTTCCTCTATCGTCTATATTTAGAGGTAGATATTAAACTATTTTTACAATTTTTTACCACACCATTTAACAGCAGAATTTCATGTCCAACCTTGCATACCAGTTTCCTGCCAATTTCGGCGTGATTGCATTGCTATATATAATAAGCGATGGAAAGAGTTTGACTTTGAATTGTATCTTTTATCATTTTTTTTACACCCAACTTACCGCGGTATTTAGAAGTCAATATGCATATTTTATTGTATTTTTATTTTATTTTTACTTTATTTTTTTTATTTCTCTTATAATAGGTAATTTTCTCGAAGTTGGCATATATAAAAATTATGTTTTTAGAAAGGCGATAG